ACATGCTTGAAGTTCTGAAGAAATTCTTCTTTGCAGACACAGATTTAACATTACCCACGCTGTACACATTGTTAAAATGCCTGTAAACTTACAAAATTGTTCGTTTTTGAAACATGTGATGCCGTATTCTAAGAAAATAAACTGGTACACAGAGTTAGGTAGCATGACTTTAAAAGCCAACAAATTTTGTAGGCACTGGTAGTGAACGCACGTGCCCTGGGAGGTGACGAGGAGGCGGCAGTGGGTCCAAAGTGGAAAGACTTTCTCTGGCTCTCAGTTGTCTCTGCTGACGTCACCTAGATGATTCAACTCTGATGACCAATGAATAGGTTCAGAAAAGTCCACAAATGTGTGCACCTGTCACCAGCTGCGAGGATATTCAGTGGAACCTTCTGCATCCAACTTCAGCTCGCCGGACAATGTAAAGAGTGTGGTTTACACCGTGATCTAGAAAAAGGTTTTATGGCTCTTTTTCCTTCAATTACCCTTAAAATTGCTAGAGCACATTGGCCGTTGGCTGCTCTCGTGTGGATGTGGTTGGGAGCCCGCCGTCTGGGTGACCACTACTGGGGCCAGGAGGCTCACTGGGGTCTGCTGGCATTCAGGAATTTCATTTGGAGGGACGTAACCCTAAATTTGCCTTCCCTTCATGGAGGATTGCTCCTCTGGGCATTCATAATACATAGAAATTATTTGGAGTGTGACACTGTGAAAGAGACACAGGAGATAGTTTATCATTTTAATACGTGGGGGATTCCCTTCCTTTCCATGGTTGAATTTTTAAATCTGCTCACTTGGAATATTCTCATTAGAGGCTGGATGTCAGTTACTAGACCCCAGGTTTCTCAGGCGGCCCGCAGAGGGCAAGCCCCCGGGAGCTCACTGAGCTCCCCACAGGCTGTGCCGTCCAATTCTGCATTCCCCGAATGCCTGCCCTTCCGGATCGAGCTGTCCTGTGCTCCTGCACTTCTGGGCGACCCTGGTGAGCTGCAGTGGTGCTCCGGGAAAGGCCTGTGGTCACGTGCACCAAGCTTTCTTGATGCTCGGGCCTCTTTGTCCTAAAGGAGCTAGTCCCAGAAGACCGGTGTTGGGCCAAGCCCCGCACAGAACCAGCTGCTGCGGCGAGCCCAGCGAGGGACACTGGCCATCTGCAAAGTCACCTTTGGCTGTACCTTCAGCCGAAGGGTCCATGCCACGTCCTTGCAGTCACACGGCTCTCCTAGCCTATCTCTTTGCAACCCGGGCGGTGTGGCTTTTTGCCCTCTGTGCACAAATACACAAGACAGAAAGGGTGGGGGGAGGCACTAGGTGTGCATGTGGGCGTGCGTGTGTGTACACAGAAACACAGGCGCTAACACGCAATTTATGACATATGTGCTCGTGTGCACATACACCAAACTTCACCAGAATGAGTACACTTTTAATGATCATGATTATGAAACAGGATTTCAGGCTTTGCCCCTCTTTTACAGAGATGACCCATGTAAATAACCTAGCTGAGGTGCGTGCCAAGGAAGGCTACGCCATTTCATACCCCACGCTCGTGTCAGATTCAGGGGTGTCTCCGAGGCCGAGAGACACTGCTGTGTTCACTAACTAGGGGACTCGTGCATGATGGCCCTTCAGTAACACGTTAGAGCTGGTCAATGCTGTTCGACTCACCACACTCATCTCTTCCATCGGGATAAGTCCCGAGGGCCTCAGCCACCAGTTCTTCCAAACTCAGTTTCCAACCCGACCTTCAACAGCCGATCACCTCAGGTCCAGAGTCACAAAGCAGATTCTTAAAGTCCTTGTGCAAATGTCCCCCCACCCCACCCCGATCCCTTTTCTTAGAGCTTCCTTCATCCTTTATCCGGCCTCCACTTAAACCTCTCTATCTTGTGTTTAGTTCTTTACAAACTGATTTTCTCTCTCCTACTGGACTCAAAACTCCTCGAGGGTAAGACCTGTGTCACCTTTATTTTCATTTTCCTCTTCATCTATCACTGTCCCCAGAATGCTGGGGGATCCTCCATAAATATTTCTTGGATGGCTAAATGAATAATGCCCACACGTCATGGTCAGGAGAATCTTGGTGGCTATTTGTCACATTCAATGATGAAACCGCCCCATCTAGAAGATGGATCGGTTCCTAGATAAAGCTGTAGTTTGCTAAGCAGAGTGGATTCTGATCCTGATTTGTGAAAGTCAACCACCATCTTGTTCAACGTTGTTTGAAAGTGTAAAGCAAGTGAGAGTTTTCTGCTTGGTAACCGATCTCTCTTTTCCCCTCTCCTTTCTCTTCGCCTCTCCTCTCTTCGCTCTCTTTTTTGGTAACAGATGTCAACCTCAGTTAGATTCAATTCAACTTATTAGTGCATGGCTTTTAGCCAAAAGCAATTCGCATTTGCAGAAGTGTACTATCACATATGTCTTAATAACAGAAATGTGTTTTTGAAAAAAAATGTATGTGCTAAGTCACATATGGTGGAAGAAATCTGTACATCGCTTCGGCTCTGTTCTCACAATGAAAGCTTGGAGATAATTGCTACAGAACATTAACATACAAGTGAAATCCTCTGACACATTAAAGAGCCACAGTTTGAACATACTAATCAAGCTCTGATAGCGGCATGGTTCCAATAGACTGAGAAATACGCTGGCATCTCCTGTCCTGATGGCTGATTTTAGGAACATTCAATTGAGTCTTACCCTCAGAGGTAATATTTTATGTTTCAAGGTAAAGTCATTAGTGTATCCAGGTACATTATGTGCTTACATTCACTAAGCATATATTTAATTTCTCCCTTATATGGAGTGTAATTAATGTGTACCACAGCTCCCTACAGTGATGAAAGCAGCTTACAACCATGAAGGTATTAAAAATAAATTGAACAAGTGGTTGAGAAATAGGGAGGGGGAGGGAACCTTTAGAGAGGAAAATATACAAAGCAAATGGATATTGTAAGTCACTTGCCATCGTTCTAATTGAAAGCTCACTTAGCCTTAGATCTTGGGAAGTAAGAGAATTTCAGAAAATGCAGATGCCTTTCACAATATATCCATCTAGATACAACTCGAGAGACTAGAATGTGTTGTACATGCGTCTCTGCTGCTTGCCGAGGTGTCGCTGCCTTGTCAAAGGAGCTCATGTCCAAACGATTTTCAAAGACAGTAGATTAAGAGTGGTGTTTCTGTACTGAATGGGATGGGGGAGGGAATACTTCTACCCCACAAAGTTCTGAACATATGATAAATACTCAATATTTTAAAGGTCAAAAAGAATAAGTGGGGAAAGGAGTGATAGCTCAACCTTCCCGGCCATGGAAAAGTTTACGCCTGTGTATTTTTCTTCCCGACCTACTAAAGCAAAGGGCAGTAAACTTCCTCTGCAAGCCATCACATAGAATATATTTATGGCTCTGCGGTCTGTACAGTCCCCGATTCAACCACTCAACTCTGCGATTGTAGCAGAAAACAGTCACAGACAATATGGAAACAAGTGAGTGTAGCTGTGTGCCAATAAAACTTTATAGGCACTAAAATTTAAATTTCATATAATTTTCACATGTCACATATTGCACAAAGCGTTCATCTCTTGAGTTTCCCCAACCATTTGCCAAATTCTGCACCAGGGGATGGCTTCAAATCACACGTCTACTCATCTCCACCAATTTGTGTTGAGAACGAAGCTATAAATGATGCCTCCAGACCTTAACTTTTCCAGCAAGCCTGCATACTGCCAGCTTGTAGGATGTGATATGTCTGTCCCATCAAGGGTCAATATTTCCAGTCCTCCAGCCCTGGTCACACCCCTTCTGAGCTGGGGCACCCATCTGCATGTGGGTAGACCGGAGGGCAAGGCAGACGTGCAGTCAAGCTGACACGATCACTATGTTCTGAAGCCCTGGCGTCATTGGTTCAGGCCTCTAATTCACAGAGTTCGTCTGCCAGGGGCCCCTAGTAGAGAAGCCTTTTAGGTAAGCAGGCAGAAAAGAAATCAGGCTGCAGAGATCTGAACCCCAACGAAACCCGCAGCCAAAAACTCCCTAACTAAAAATCCTCTTGTAGCACAATCAAATCCAGAGGCTACAGAAGCCAATAAGGACTATCCTGTGGCCTAAGAAAAGTAAAGCCGAAGCCCACAAAACTGGGCAGAGTTAATTCCTTCACAGAACACAAGCAGCCCTCTGGTCATTCCTGCTATCTGGCCATTCTCCCAGAAAGTATTTGACATCGACTTCTCACTTCTGCACTTGGAACTCCTGGTGATGGAAGTCGGCAGACATAAATCAACACGCAGTTTCCAGACACGTGATGTTGCCAGACCAATAACACGCAGCCAAGAGAGCAGGTCTTCCCTGGGCCACGTGGCTGGCAGCCTGGTATGTGTGATAACGCGGCAGTCAGAGGCCGCTGACCCAAATGACAAGACAGGCATGTTTCTGAATTTGAAAGTCTCCCTTCTGGGATAAGCCAGGGTGTCTAAGACATACTATATTTAAAAAGAGTGCTGTGCAACTTGTTTATAATTGAACAGTGCCCCATCAGATGCCCTGGGAACAGTTCTCTGTTAGCTGGGAAAACGTTCATTAAATATATTCGCATCAGCTTTTCATGAAGGGAGCAGGAGGCCTGGGTGCTGAGGTGCATGCCTCCCATGGGGCTTGTCGCTCGCTGCTGCCCTGGCATGTCTGTCATAGGCCCAGGGCTCACAGGACGTAGCCTCGAATATGAATAGGATGGTATTTGGCATCTCTTCCTGGAGGGCATGGACTAACTTAACATAAACTGGACACACACCCGGGGCACTTGCTCATCAGACCAGAGAGGAAAAATATGAAAGCCTGTCCCTGGTCACTGGAGGGGTTCTTTGTTCTTTTTGTGCTGGCGTTTTGCTCTTCAATTGTCATGAACAGGGACTAACTTAAAATCGAAGGCCTCTTTTGTGACCTTTTTTCACATGCAGGGAATCCATTCACATTAAAATTTCGAACGAATAAAAAAAATGAACTTACTTCACAGGATTATTCTTAGGTTTTGCCTTTTCAACAGCCTGTAAATAGAAGGGGAAAATGCAATTAGACATTAGTCGGCATAATGTTTGCAACTAGATACCAAAACCATAAACAATATAAAAGGCTCTTCAGAAACTTAAGGTGCTAACCAAAGGTGGCTGCAGGAGATGGGCAGACTGCAGACACAGAAAGCTATTTTCCTTCTTTCCCCTTCCCTAAGGATGTGGTCATTCATCCAGAGGCAGCTTTTAGACCCTGTCAGGGCTCCTGGGGAAGTGCCGGAGGAGCAAGGCCTGCAGGTTCTTAGCTGGCCTCTTGCATCCTCTCCTAGGGGGCCGGATGGGGCTGCCGCAGAGGGAGGAGGTGCAGTGGAACGGCTGTCCGTATGTTCTAGGTTCACGTGAGGGAACGCTTCAGCCTGCGTCACTGTGGACACCTGGCTGCACCTTCGGCAGGACAGAGCAGCCCAAGAGGACAATTCCAAAATCAGTTTCATTAGCAGACACCAGAAAAGGGCAAGGGACGAGTGAATGTTTGGACCCGCTTCTTCCTGTGGAATCTTTAAGAAAACAAACGCCAAATCACCAAAATGAGGAAATTTCTCTGGGCCTCTCGGCCTGCATCGCCTTAGATATGGAGCCTGGTTCCAGTTTATTGCTGAACTCATTGATCTGTATTCAGTCCATTTATCATTCATGAAAAGAGCTAGTGATCTTCACAGTATATTAGAAGAAACAACTCAGATCATCTGTCAACAGCCCTCTTCTTTCTGTTTCCCTCTCCACAGGGATTGCATCTCCTTCGATTCTTCTGGAATTAAAATGTTGCTAAGCAACACAGCTGGGGGCGCTGATGGCAGAATGGCTACAGTCTATCAAAGTGTTTAAGCACCTGGAGGGTTTTAGTGATGATTTTTTTTCATACTTCTGTAGCATAATTATGTAATCAGAACCACACTAGTGCTGCCCTAGACTTTCTCAGGCATTAGAAATAACATTTAACGCAGGGAGTGCCGAAGCAGTGGCTTGACAACTCAGGGTGGTTCAGGCCTTTTAAAAAGTATCCATTTGGAGACCTTCATATTTGGGAATCCTGGAGGTGGGTGAGGGTTTAAGAGATGAAGAAAACCCCACTGTAAATCATACTGCAGAGGCAACCCTTTGCCACAGACACAACTTTTCAGCTAACATTGGACATGGCATTCTGGGACACCACTGCGCGCGCATACGGAATCCTAAGCAGAACAACTCAATGCACACAGAAGCGATTACTTTTTATAATATTTTTTTCTTTATACATACAAGAACAGAGGTGCAGGCCAGAGGTGCAGGGGGTGAGAGGATTCCCCAGAGACAGAGTGGGGAACGGAACAGGCAGACTGACTGAAGTACACTGCTGAGGGGAGCAACGGAGAGACAGGAGAGGTCTGCTGTGCCAGGGATCGAACTCAGGACGAGGCAGTGATTGTGCTGAGATTTAAACCCCAGGCTGCCAAGGAGGCCCCGGAAGTGATTACTTTTTAAATGAATGAGACACTTTCCAGCTTCAGACATCAGTGCTGGAAATCTACATCCTTCTCTTCTATTAAGTCTCAGGTTCCACTGTAAGATACATGCCCATTCATATCCGGGCACTTTTTTTTGGCTTGGAAGTCAAAACTCATTTTCTCGCCATCTGTGTGTGAGGTTGAATTTTGGCAAGTGGTAAAATAGTAAGAAAGCTGTGGAAAGCTGAAGAAAACAGGTGAAAATGATAAAATAAAGAACATGTGGTGGGTGGGGCCAAGTCATGTCTCGGGCATCCCAAGGCATTTGGGATGTGAATGCCTGCCCCGAGTAGTCTGCCTCTTGCACCCTTTTATCTCCTCCAATCCTGGATGCTTTGTAGTGGGGTGTGGTGGCACTGGAGGACACCATTGTGCAAAGCACACGAATCCACTCTTTCCAACCCCTTAAAATGCAAGCATCCGCTCTGGAAGACTTAGGTTACCAAGAAGTCATGGGCATGGCGTACAAGTGGCTTCTGGATGTGATGGGAGGGAGGAGCGTGCTACTGGCAGGAGTCACAGAGGGCAGAAATCAAAGTGACTTAACCTGGCTTTGATTCAGTGACATGTTTTTTGAAAATGTCATCTCCTCTATGCTTCGGGACTGACTGTCAATTAGATCCAGTAATTTTACTTTGATCAGGAGGAACATAATCATGTTTGAGGCCAGTTTCTTTGAAACTTAGGCCTTTCTCTACTGCCATTAGAGGAAAATAACTTCATTCAAATTAATTTTTTCTGGGTGGCTGGGCTATTGATTGAAAATGTCTGTGCCAAGAGGTTCTCTTCTCTTTGAAAATTAACTCAGGAGCATTCTGGAGTCCCAGCAGCTCGTCACCTTTAATCTCTAAACTAAATGGTCACAGAAAGCCACCACCAGACATGACACACAGCTCACAATTTGTGCTCTTCTCTTTCACTGTAAGTGGACTGTTTTAGGCATGCTACAAGACATTAATTAAGAGACTTTGACTTTGACAGAAAGTTGAGTAAATTATTTGTATGCAAACTATATATGCCTCTAAGGTCAAAGAATCAGCCTGCAAAATATAAGGAGAAATTCCTCTTTTGAAATTATGGGACATGAAAGATAAGAAACTGGAAAAACACAGCAAAAGTAATTGTTTGACTTGGTGAAAAATACACAGTTTCGTAGAAGGAAGGGGTGCAGAGAGGAGGGAGCAGAAGGAGGGAAGTGGACAGGACATGGGCACAGAAGCTGTGATTGAGCGGGAGTGAAACAGGGGCACATATGGAGGGGTGAGGCTGTACTCCCCAAATCATATAGTTATGGAAACAACAGACAAATTAAGAATATTGGGGGGAAGGTGAAGACAATTCCAAACTCTACATGCATCCGCCAGAATGTGAGGGAATCCGAAAGAAGTGATGTGCACTGAGCTCAGAGAGGGTGACACACTGGATGCCAGCTCGTTTTGAGTTTAAAAACATACATCAACGTAATCGCAACTGATCGGGAAACGGGCTGGCTCGTTACCAGATACGCTGCTAAGTTGTAATATCTATAATGCTTTCAAAACCTGTATTCCACGTCTCTGCGCCACGATTCCCTAAGATATTTATCATGCCATGGAGGGAGCTCTAGGATCAGAAAGGATGAGAAAAGAAATTTAGACGGCGACCGCATGTACACCAACATGGGCTGGGAGGCACCGGCCTGCAGTTGGGAGCAAACCCCAAAGCACTGGCTTCTAGTCCCAGCTTCCCTGCTCACCGTCACCGCCAGCATGGCCTCAGCCCTGAGGCTGGCACCTCCGAGTCTGAGTCTGCTTCCTCACTTTACCAATGCAGATGCGCACTCCTACCCCTTCTCCATCAACCGTGCTTGTGAGCACCCACCCTAGAAACAGCGCTAGAGAGGTCTAGAAAGCTGTGTGGCTGTCCTGGCAAGGACTGGGATAGCGCTCTGTGCCTCTCTGCAGAGCAGCAGTTCTGAATGAAATGCTTCTGTCAGTTTAGTCCAGCAGGAGGGGGCCCCACCCCCTCCACATTCCCAGCAGCCTTTGCCCGGAGCCTTCTCAGGGACTGGTGGGGGAGCAGGAAGGGTGCCCGGGTGCTGTGGTGCATGAGTGTGTGCGCCTACAGTTCAGTCCCTCTTTCTCTCGCCCTCGAAGCGCCCCTCTTTTCCAGCGTGTCATCTCACCCCTCACTCTATCAGACGGGCTCTTGTTCACTAACATTTGACCATGAGGTTGGGCAGTGCGGAGGCTGCTCTCCCAGGCGGGCACCCTCCGTGCTGTGGCATCTTGAGAAATTATATTCCCAGGAAGAAGGCACTTCTCTCATTCCAAGGAGTGTTTACGAGCTGATTCTCCTCTCATTACCGGTATTGTACTCTTCCTGGCGCCCTGCTAAGCAGCAAATTTATGTTCTCAGGAGGGCCAAGCCGACTAAGGACATGCTCGTAGTTGCTCATTCACTCGATCTATCTTCCTGGAAATGAGAAGGACGTTGTCTTTCTGTTGTTCTGACAATCCTTTCGCTGCACTGAAGCTGAAGTGACTCAGGAATCACGCTGAATGACATGAACTATAAAATCTAGTGTGATCATAAAAACGTAGAAATAATAAAGGAAGGGCGGGAAGGAAGAAGGAAGGAAGAGGCGGACAGAGGGCAGGTGAGCAGGAGGGAGTGGTGGGCGGACAGTGTGTCTGCTGCGTCCCAGCCTCCACAGCTTACTGAACACCCTGTTTCTTCAGGCAGAAAGGGCTGCAGGTGAAGTGTAAGGCAGTTTCTGGCCATTTTTTATAAACTGAGGCAACTTCCTCAGAATTCTGTCCAGTGAGCACATGTCCTTAACTCTGACTCCAGCCCAACAGCGATATACACAACGTGAAAAATCATTGAGAGAATCTTGGGCTTGCAAGAAGCAGGCCGCAAACTGTCATATCCAGACGCAGGACAAGGCTGCCCTGCACCAGGAAATGTATGGGAAGCAAACCACAGCAATCTGTTTCCTGTTCAATGCTGTCGAAGTGAGCAGCCTGACGCCGAGAGACGATGGGGCAGCGGGCCCCCTGACAAGGCTGTGGGCTATGTTTGCAGGTACCTCTGTTTCTCTTAAGCAGTAATAACACTGTCAGTCAAGCATAAAATGGGATTCTCGCAGCACTGCTCCACGTGGCTCCCCCAGCTCCTGCTTACATGTTTCTCCCTGGCACCCTCCTGGCAGACCCTCCCCAGCTGGGTGTGTACACCACGCTTCCCGACGGAGTGAAAAGTCAATCATTCAGAAAATTTCAAATCTCCTGGAGTCAAGACAGAAAACTCAATTGCATTGGCTTTGGGTTTCTATGTTTTACCTTTTTTATTTTCTTTTAGTTTTCATGACCTGTTCTGTGAGACAGGCCCATGCCTTTACTAGCACCATGTACTGGGAAATTGCATCAACCGTCTAGGTTCAGAAGGAAAGTCCTCTATCAAGAAATGAACTCATCATCAGTGTATTCAGAGGGTCCAAAATCAATGCCT